GCCACAGGAACAGGAAACTTCCAGGCAGGGCTAGAGGGTATAAAAAGACCATCTGCCCATGTGCTCACTCTCTTTTCTTCTCCTCTGCTGCTTATCTGTCTTCTGCAATAAACTGTAACCTTCTTCCCAAAGCAGTCGCCATGTTTGCTTATTTATTCCCGGCTTGGATGAACCAGGATGAAGACTTACCTTCTAACAAAGGAAAAAAAACACCTCTTTGTCTTCTTTGGTTGTTTTTTCTACCATTGTACTTTCTTTGTGGGGATAATTAGGGGAAAAGAAGAAAAAAGGGACATTGCTAATTTGTTCCCATCAACTTTATAATGTTGGAGATACCTCTCTTGTTAAATTTTAAAAAATAAGAGTGAAAACTTTTTTTTTAACTTTATCAACGTGGAAAAAAGATCTTACAGTCCACTGAGGACATCTGGTGGCCAAAGTGACACTACAACTCTATCTTTGTGATTGGACTTCACATGACAGTAAAAGAGAAAAGATAATCTGACATTTGGGTGGTGAAGCTGGCTAGTAGACCTTTGGAGGCGGATATTTGTGGACTTTTGTTAAATATAGTCTCTAACAAAAGGAACAGGCTAGTCTACCACCAAAATGGAAGGAAATATTCCATATCTTGACTATGATCTAATATTGGGGAAAAAATTTGAAATGACAGAAGACTTCAAAACTTATGGGAAACCGAGGAGACAATTTAAAGATGCCACCTTGACACTTTCAACTGACCCTCCAATAATGAATCAAGCAATGGAACAAGGAACACCAGAGGAAGAACAGAGCAATACTGAACAGGCTTTCATACATCAAGACACACAATCTAAAGAGACAGAGACATTATGCTTACAACCCAATGATGAATCTATGCTGGGAGAAAAGGTGGTAACCACTGAGCCAACTAATTCTACACAACGTTACCTACAACGGATGGATAACTTGGATGATCAAGAATTAACTGTAACTGATTCAGTTCAATTACTGAAAACTACAAAGATTGATACTCAGATACAACTTTCTGGAAACCACAACAAAGCGGATAACTTATTTACAATTATAATATGGAATAAAAGTCAATATAACACTCAGATGATATTGCCAGGAAGAGAAGAAAGTTTTGCTCAGTTTGAATTGATTAGAAAGTTTTGTAACCAAAGTTTGAGGTTTGATAATCGAAAAGTTTTAATATGGGAACCAACTTGGCCTAGAAAGAAAGCTAGAGTCAGGTTTAAATGTGATATAAAATGTTACTTGATGGGTTAAAAAGGCTTTAGAGATTTTGTCTGATTTAATAATGAAAGAAGGATGAGAATTGATTGATACCATAGTTGATAATTATTAGGGAGCAAACTTGTTTACGGGTTAAAAAGATTTTATAGACGTAGAGTGATGAAATGATAGAACACGTGTTTAAAAATAGATATGTGGGTTTTTTTGAACTATACTATTATTTTAAATATGATAATTATTTTGAAATAGAGAGAGAATTTTCTGATTTAATAATGAATGAGGGCAGGGAATTTCTTGACATTATACTTGATAAATATTTGAAGGTGTAAACTTTACAAAAGGGCTTAAAAAGATTTTTTATAGATGTGGATTGATGAAATGATAGAATATATTTTAAAAAATAGAACTGTATTTGTTGGATTTATATTGTTATTTTAAACGTGAAAAATACGCTGTAATAGAGAGAGAGTAAGAGCCATTTGTGATAGGAAAAAAAATAGTTTTAATGAACGATCTATTATTAAGGATACCTGAAATCCCAACTATATGTCTATTGAAATGTAATTGGAATAAGACAATTGCAATTAGTAAAGCTTAAAACAGGATATAGATTATCATAATTGCAAGGTGATTGAGGATCTTTGTTTGATTGAACTTATCTAAAATTGTATTAATTTTAATTTTAATAAGTAATATTATTCCTTACAGAGAGCAAATTGTTTATAATTAATTTGAGCTATGTGTATATGATTTTGTTTTTGAATGATTTGACACTCTGACCACCACGTTGTGTCCTAAGCTTTTGTATAAAAAATGGAAAAAAACAATAAAACTTTTTTATATATATAAAAAAACCAAGAGATCAGATTTCAATTGGCAGGATAAAAAAATCTGCAAAATGCTTTCCTGGAGTACATAACTGAAATCTGGTAATAGTAATACCAGACATGAGCACCATGTCACTCCCCATTAATGCCTGTTGCAAGACATTAATCATCCTGGTGAATTTTAAGGCACACCAGATAAAAAGATAAACAGGTAGATCTGTATAAGCTAAAAAATATAGCTTTATAAACAGAGGAATTATATTTAAGATAAGAGCTAATACTTTATGACTAAATTGGGTACAATGTTCCCAAGCTCTATTTTCACAAAATATGAAAAAAGGGAAATAGCATATTTTCTGTCTTTGAAATAATGGCAAATATAGGCATTTACAAACTTCCAAATATCCTTTCTAAAAATTGTTAAAATTATTTTCAAACATATAATAATAATTTTCAACAATTTTGTTTGATTTTTTTTAAAAATTTAATGAGAAATCTTGCCTATACCAAACTCAAGTGTGAATGTTGATCTCAGCATAAACAAAGTATAATTTGTCAACTGAATGCATCTGCTGTAGTCCCCTCTCACCGTTGAATGAATTGTATGTTTAACATATTGGAATAGTCTTAGTAAACCCTTGGACTTCACTTACATAAATGTGACATCCAGGAGAAATAAACCTATAGAAAAATACTAAAAGTATATTAATAAATGCATGATTAGATGAACAATATTTAATGGAGCAAATTGACTTTAAAAATCTCCAGAGTTTTCTATTTTGGTGGCAAGCCAAGAGAGCAGCTATGTTAATACAAATTTGTCACCATTTCTTCACTCAACCCCCCATTATTGCTCCTGTTGTGCTTTCACTGGGACTATTGCTTATTTTATTTAGTTAATTAGTAATATCCTGCCTTTATTATTATTATTATAAAAAACTCAAGGTGGTGAAAACATAATACTTTTCCTCCTCCTATTTTTCCCACAACAATAATCCTGTGAGGGAGGTTGGGCTGAAACAGAGTGACTGGCCCAAAGTCACTCAGCTGGCTTTCATGCTAAAGGCGAGACTAGAATTCAGAGTCTCCTGATTTCTAGAGCAAGACCTTCACCACTACACCAAACTGTTCCTCTCCTTTTCCTCTCTGTGAGTACTGTCACAGCCGGATGCTGCTATGTTTTATTTTATGATGCATTGGTCACATGCTATTTCTCAAATTGGTTTATTGCACTTTAGTACTTAACAAAACAGAAAATGCATTGCTAAAGGTGAGGGGATAAATGCCCCAAAGGCAAGTCTAGAGGAAGTGGCTTACAAAGGGAGTAAAACTATTAGTAGAGCAGCAGAATAAATAATCCATTCTGAATGAGATTTCCAATACTCTATATTGTTAATAGAAAGAGAATGAGCAGAAAATATACGGGGAAAGGACCCACACTAGCCCAGCACACTCACCTTACTTCAGCCTAGCTTTATTTATGTGGATGAAAGCTAAGTGAAATTGTTACAAATTCTGCCATCCCCTATCAGCAATTATCATGTGATTGTTTAGAATGCATGGGGGGGGGGGGAAACCTTTCAGACCTTCATATATAAAAATACCAAGAATCAGCCTTGATGGGATATAGAACAAAAATATCCTAGTTAAAAATAATTAATGAAAGGCTCTTACATAAAGAGTTGGTTTCATAAAAGAGAGAATGCAACACAGAGGACGTTAAAAAATAAATGACTATAATCCATCAGCATCTCTGCTACAGTACATAAAATATAATATATACAATTAAAGGCTGCTACCTTTAATAAGTTACTTATTGCATAAATGATTCCTTGTGCAGATTCTAATTTAATTTAAACCAGCCTTCCCCAGTTTAGTTCTGGGACTAAAACTTCCAGAATTTCCAGCCAGCATAGCATTTTTTTTACTAGTCATATTGATGTATTTTCTTTTGTTTTTCTTTGCTTTATTGTTCTATTATTTTCACTTTGTTTAAACTTACTTTCTATTTCTTCATGGTTGTGAGTTGCCTACAGTAGCTCATGGCAAGATAGACAGCAAATAAATTTAATAATAATAACATAATCCACATCAATAGGTAGAAAAAATGTCAAATGTGAATATCTGGCTGATTGTGTAATGAATCATAATGAGCATCATCTAATTAGTGAAATAGCAAAATACTCTCTGCTCTAAGTTGCCAACTCTTGAGATGAGTAACTAAAGATATAAGCAGCTCAGTAGAAATATTATACTGAAATAATACTTAGAGCACAAGGACATGCTTACTTACTATTCCATCAAAACAAAAATGGAGAAATTTAGCAATGGAGAAAAGATTCTAATCCAAATTTTGCTTGTCAAGCTGGCTTTCTGTTTGGTTAACATAACATTTAAAAATACTCCCTCCCTTCATCTGTAGGTGCCACCCAATGTGGCACATTTGAACAAGAAAAAAATTAAATCTTTCCACAAATACAGCAGCAGCTTTGGTTGATCAAGTAAGAACTCATAGATACATATATCTATAAAATATACAGTTATGACTCTTATTCATTGACCAGACATGAAATAGCACATTTGCAATCAAATATCACTAGAGAAAATATTTTTCACACTCATCATTTTGAAAAACTGTATTACTACCTTTTCTTAAATAATATTTTGTCCTGGATTCCCTGGGACTTAAAATTCTCTTGTTTTTTAATTTCTATACTTACTGGTTGCCTTTTGACACTCAGCCAGTTCTTCCATAGCAACACCCACAGGTGTCGGAAAAGTGAAGCCATCCTCAAAAGAGCTTCAGCAAAAGAAGAAAGTTCTTGTCTTCTCTCTGACCCAGTCTTAGATTGCCAAAAATGTATGCTGTGATCAAGATTTGTATTGCTTTGCCTATGCACCTTTTCTATACAACCCAGATGTCTAGTTCATCCCTTTGTCTCTGCTCTGTGCACATTTCCTATTGCACATGCAACAGGTTGATTCATCCAATGAGAAGCAAAGAGTGCTAATTATAATATTATACTACTCTCTCAGCTTTCTTCAGTCCTGGTGTGATAAGGCTGGTGTCATTCCAAGAAGATGCTTCTGCTGAAATTAAAGAAGTGCACCTTTTCTCCCACAAGGAACTCCCTACCACCTACACATATAGCCTACAGAAGAATTGACAAAAGAAGCAAGCAACCTAGTGGCTTGCCAAGCCAGTAGGACCTGTTTTATTTCTTTTTCCTGATTTAATGCACACAAATTGGCTGGGAGTAATAGAAAGTAGGTACATTACAGACATTCATTGTACTCCATTTAAATAAAATTAATGTTAATGTTTGTCTAAAGCAAAAGACAGGACATTATTTTCCATGAGAGCATTTAAAAAAATTCTAGACCATATATGTGTTCATGGTAAATGGTTTAGATTGATGCTTAATGCATAAATTAACATTATGTCACACACAGGGTCTTTTCTCACTGTAAGTTTAACTGTACTCCACCCTTGAGCTGTCATAAAATTATATTGGCATGGAATTTACTGTGCCAATTGCTGATTTCTATTCTGCCTCCATTGTCTCTCTTTCAAATCATTGAAAATATATTACTTTCTTCCAAAATGAAAGCCTAAGAGAAATTGTATTACTATTATCCTTCTCATCTTTCCTATTACCTATTACCTATTCCTATTGATATCTTATCACTATCACTTTGTTGGTTGTATCTTATGATTTATGATTGCATCTCATGATTTATGATTTATCACTTTGTTGCTTGTATGTATACTGAGAGCTTATGCACCGGAGACAAATTCCTTGTGTGTTCAATCAAACTTGGCCACTAAAGAATATTCTATTCTATTCTGTTCTGTTCTGTTCTGTTCTGTTCTGTTCTGTTCTGTTCTGTTCTGTTCTGTTCTGTTCTATTGGGGTGCCCCATGTAATTGGTAGACATGGTGTAAAAATAACTTGGCTAACCAACTAAGATGATCAAAGGCCTGAAAACTAAAACTTATGAAGAATGGCTACAGGACTTGGGTTTGGTTAGTCTAAAGAAAAGAAGAAACAGGGGTGACATGATAGCAGTATTCCAGTATTTGAGGGGCTGTCACAAAGAAGAGGGGATCAAATTATTCTCCAAAGCATTAGAGGGCAAGGCAAGAAACAATGATTGGAAATTGATCAAAGAGAGAAGCAACCTGGAATTAAGGAGAAAGTTCCTTTCTCTGATTAGGAGAAAGTTCCTAATAGTGAGGACAATTAACCAGTGGAACAGCTTGCCTTCAGAAATCGTGGGTGCTCCATCACTTGTCTGAAATGGTATAGGTTCTCCTGCTTGAGCGGTGGGCTGGACTAGAAGACCTCCAAAGTCCCTTCCAGCTCTATTCTATTCTATTCTATGCCATGCCATGCCATGCCATGCCATGCCATGCCATGCCATGCCATGCCATGCCATGCCATTGCTCAAGAGGAATGAATTACATAAACATATAGATGCTTATGTAATTCATTCCTCTTGAGCAGGGGTGTCAAACTCACAATGTCACGTGACGTGTTGTGACATATTGTGACTTTTTTTCCCATTGCTGGCAATGGGGTGGGCACGGTTTTGCTATGACACATCCGGCCAATGGGCTGGCAGTTTGACACCCCTGATCTATAGAACCACTGTGAAGAGTAATTAAGTCATCTGATGGATGTAATGAGCAGAAGGTTTAAGGAACAGGAGGAAGAGCCACAATGAAGACAATGTCAGATAAACGAAATCTGAGCCTGGGCCAGAACTGTAACATCAGTAAGAGACAAGATCCTTCCTAATCTCATGAAACTAAAGAGAGGGAAGGGAGAAGCATATTCAGCTTTGCAAGATTTGGTTACTATAATCTTATAATAAAAGTAGTATTAGCATGCATGACTTTGGTTTCCTGGTCTGGTCTACCTTGAAGAGCTGACAATGGATAAAGTCACTCAAGTCTGCTCAGTGTTGGACTCCAACTGGGTAGATCCAATTGATGTGCCTGGATATGATCTTTTGGGTTTATTTGGAATAAGTTCATTCTTGATTAAATGGTCAGAGTCCTTCAGACTGTGAGCTTGGCCAATTGCTTATTACTGAGTTGCTCAGGCTCCCTGGAGATCCTTTGGGGAAAGGTGAATGCTCTCAAAATGAATATCAAGTCCCATGTTAGCTATGAAAGCCAGCTGGGTGACTTTGAGCCAGTCACTCTCTCTCTCAGCCCAATCCACCTAACAGGGTTGTTGTGGGGAAAATTGGAGGAGGAATGTGTTGAATATGTTTGCTGCCTTGAGTTATTTGCAAAAATAATAAAAGCAGGATACAAATAAATAAATACATACATAGATAAAGTTAGAAATATATGAAATGAAATGGCTAATAAAAAAGATTTGATCCTTTTTTCCATGCTAAATTGACTTTATGGGAAAACTCAAGTTTAAAAATTGGGGAAAAGATGGGCATATGGAAAAATTGAATGGAAGTGGGAATATTGACCCTGGACCTACTGATGGATGATGAAGATGAATTTGTAATATATTCTGTGTTAAAGGATAACTATGATTTTTCAGATATAACCCAATGGCAGTGTTTATGATTTGGACAGTATGGAAACAGCATTGGCCATGCATGTGGCAAAGCTAGGATGGGGGAGATGTGTCCATCTTAGTACTCCTTGATCTCAGTAGTTTGTTGTTTTTGCAGGGGAGCAGTGAAAATATGCAGCATTTCACCTGCAATCTAAAACTTATGCAGATTAAGAAATAATGAAATAGTATTTATTTTTAAAAATTGTCAACTTGAAATATCAGGCATGAAAGGAAATGGTAAAGAGGCCAAAGAAAGAGGATCAAGAAAAACAGAAGTATAATAGTGTGAAACTGAATTGATTGATAATGAATTAGCTTGGAAAGAATAATCAGAGCAATGTTGCATTATTCAAGTAATACTATGCGATATCTTAAGGCAGCCATACAGTATAAGAAAGGATAAAGATTAAGCAATGCACAGAGAGTTATGGAGTGACCAGACCTAAGTTAAAGTTTTGGGTGAGAGGGAGGCTTTCCAAAATCTAAATGAAATTGAACTTGTGAATGAAGGCAAATATATATGTCCCATGATAATGTTGCAGGATCCAATCTGAGTTGGTCACCTGGATTCAGTCACATCCTGGAGATTGGTAATGATAGGATTAAGTGAATGGTCTTCAAAATTTCATATTGTAAGAAAAATTTAAAATTAAAAAAGAAAATCTGCTGTGAAGTGGAAACTTACTGAGTAGAAAAACAAGCTTGCTAAAGAAACTACAATAGATGGGAGCAAGGAAATAGTAGCATAAAGGGAGGATGTAAGATAGACACTTAGGCTAAAATTAACCAGATCTTCAGAATGGGAAATGGAAGAATACAAGCTGCAAAACAGCTGTAAGAGGAAATAGCTAACTGAAAGGACAAAACTGAATTGGAAAACAGGAAAAGCAAAGCTAAAACTGAATAATAAGAAAGAACTTATTGTTCTAACAAGCCATAAAATTTCCCAGAACTCAAAAACAAACCAACAGAGCATGCTCAAAATTCTGTCAAATATTAACTGACATACCTTGCATATATTATCTGCTAATTATAATGTACATACAATGTATGATTGAGTATGTTTGAGGAGGGTAGCAGGAAATATGTAGAAGTTGGTTGGAGAGAACGTAACCTCATAGTACCTCAGTCAATGGGGAATGAGGAGGGATGGGCAGGCGGTGCAAAGAATGTACTGTATATGTCAGAATCCAGTTTTATTTCCTTTCTATCTATCTTCTCTGATCTAAAACCAATTCTTACCCTTTCCTGGATCCTGCCATACTCCCAAGGGGGAGGGGGGATATGCATGCGGGTTTTATTACTTTCACTTCCTCTATTCACTACAAAGTAACTGTTAAGTCCTTGTCTTAGTGGCGAAAGAAAGGCAAACATACTGTCAGCAACAAGTTCTTTATTCTCCTTCCAATTGCTCCATCACAACTCAGAGGCTCACAGGCCTCTCTTCTCCTTCTTAATGGCCAGGTTTCCCAGGTAAAAAAGATACAGGGAAAATGGCGCGCTTTGCAACTCGCGCATGCGCGCAGGCTGGCGCCACTTTGTCTGGTCCCAGGCAGCTTTGCAACAGCCCATTACCATGACAACGTCCCGAGCCTGCTACTGCAGGCTCAGGACACAACACCCCTTCACCCCCGGATGAAACTGCCCCAACATACATACATATGCAGATAACTGCGACCTTCTTGAGGGACGTGGTACTTCATTCATCTACAGGTGTATGGACTGTGGAGGTCTTACTTGATAACACCCTTATGGTATCGTGCTATCATTTTGGAATAACTACCAACACCCATATTCTAGAAGGTTGACAACAACCTTACAAACTCCTCCAGATACTGTGGAGGTCGTTTGCTTCGTTGCGACCTCCTCGGACCCTGGGAACACCCTGGACTTTCCCGTGCACTTGATGTAGTGGGGCTGCCCTCTCTTGGTTGCCCTGGTGGTCTGGTGACCTGGCTCCTGTCACCTGGTCTGTTCGCTTGCCCACCGGGCTATGCAGACCAGGGCTTTGCTCCCTCGGGTTCCTGTATGATCTGCCTACTACTAGGCTACCTGAACCCTCAGAACCCCACCCCCCATCTGGCGGGTCTGTGGTGTTCTCCAAGTCCACAATGGACCAATCTTGGGAACACAGTTCCTCACTCCCAAGCCCTGTAACAGTGTTATCTGGGGTCTCTGCGGTGCCCCAATACCCAATTGCCCCTTGATCTGTACCTGAAGTGCCAGAATCAGGATTTGTCTCTCTGACTACTCCCCTTTGGACTGATTTCCTTCTGGAAGCAATTGTAGCAGTTGGCCAGTTCCCTTGACTACATGCCAGTTCTCTTGTATTGTTTGTGTTATGTGGATGCTCCCTGTTATTCTCCCTGTCTGGAGTGTTGTATAGGTCTTGTGAACTGTGAGGATACCCCCTGAGTGACTCCCTGGCTGGAGTATGTAATGGTGGGTGCGATGTTCCTTGTTCCCATGAATCTCTGTTGGGCACACTTGCGGAACCCTGAAGCGAGCCTTCCCTTTGCTCCTGTTGATCCCCCTCCCCCCCAGAGAAAACCCAGGAGTAGAAGAGGAAGAGTCCAGTCTTGTACGCAGCTGGTCAATATGCCGCCGAAGAACGCGGCCGTCTTCCAAGGAAACCTCGTAAGACAATGGCCCAGTGACCTTGCAGACCACAGCAGGAATCCACAGATGACTGGGACCGTAGTTCCGGGTCCAAACCGGAGCGCCTACTTGCAAACACCGTGGCGCCCTAGGCTTGGAAACCAGAGGTGCCAACCTGTCAGGATGCAACCTGTCAAGCTTAGTTATCAGTCTGCGACCCCAGCGGAGTTCTGCAGGGCTTTTTCCAGTGGATACAGTAGGTGTGGTGTGGTGTGCAAGAAGAAAATCTGCCAACCTGTGATGCCAGTCCCCGTAAGTCAGTTTCTTGAGGGCGTCCTTGGTGACACGCACCATCCTCTCAGCCATACCGTTGGTGGAAGGGTGGAAGGGGGCCGATGTCGCATGCCGGATCATGTTGGCCTGTAGGAAAGCCTGGAACTCCGCAGACGTGAACTGTGGGCCGTTGTCTGAAACTAAAACATCTGGCAGGCCGTGAGCAGCAAAAATGCCTCGCAACACCTGGATGGTCCTGGCAGTAGTAGTGGAGGAGACAGGAACAACTTCCAGCCACTTAGAATGACTATTCACAAGGAACAAGAAGAATTGCCCCTGAAAGGGCCCAGCATAGTCCACATGTACTCGGGACCAAGGCAGATGTGTTTCCTCCCACCTGTGTACAGGGGCCTGAGGCATCTCCGGCCATGAACGCTGGCACAAGTGACACCCATGCACATGGGCCTCTATATTCTTGTCTAGCCCTGGCCACCATAAATGGCTGCACGCGAGCGCCTTCATCCGGACAATGCCAGGATGGCCCTCATGGAGGGAAATCAAGATTCTACATCTCAACGAGGTAGGAATAACCATCCTGCTGCCCCAAAGCAGGCAACTCTTAAAGGTGGATAACTCATGCCTCTTGAGCCAGAAGCTTTGGAACTCAGTACCAGGGCTTCTGTCAGGCCATCCAGACAGAACCCAGGAAAGCACACGAGTAAGCGTGACATCAGTGGCTGTTTCAGCAGCCACATCCCTTGCATTAAGGGGAGATTCAGGCAACTCCTGAATAGAAAGAAGATTGATGGCAGGAGTGGGGTCTGCTTCTACTGTTGGCAGAGGTAGTCTGCTTAGGCCGTCTGCATGACCCATCTCCTTACCAGGTTTGTGAATTAAGGAATAGTCATAAGCTGACAAAAAAATAGACCACCTCATCATTCTAGGGGAAATAATATGGGGAGTTTGTTTATTGGTGGTAAACAACCCCAACAGCGGTTTATGGTCAGTGAAGACCATGAAATGCCTGCCATTTAAAAAATCATGGAATTTTTTAACCCCTGCTACTATGGCCAATGCTTCTCTATCTATTTGAGCATAATTGCGCTCAGCAGAAGACAGAGTCCTGGAGTAATAAGCAACAGGAACCTGAGTTCCATCAGCTTTCAAGTGGCTGAGTACAGCTCCTACCCCATAAGGGGAAGCATCACAGGCAATGCATACAGGCAATTTCTCATTGAAATGTGCAAGCACATCATGAGATGTTAGCAAGGCCTTGACCTCATTGAAACTCTGTTCGTGGACNAAAGCCTATGTAGAGGTTCAGCTACAGCAGCCTTGTGAGGTAGGAAAGCGTTGTAAAAATTTAGAAGGCCTAAGAAAGCCTGCAGTTCACCCTTAGTTTTAGGGCTAGGAGCCTGCTGTATGGCCTTTAACTTTGATTCAGCAGGGTGAATACCTTGGGCATCTATTCTAAATCCCAAAAAATCTGTAGAAGTGACCCCTATTTTGCACTTGTTTTTCTTAAGTTTTAGGCCTGCTCTTCTGAATCAAAGCAACACAGCCCTCAATCTCTCTGCTAAGTTCTGAATGGATTCTCCAGCAATAAGAACATCATCAAAGTAGGGACAAACCCCAGGAATGCCCCTAAGTGTGCTTTCCATGATGCTTTGGAAAATGCCTCGTGCAACATTCACCCCAAACTGCAATCTCTTGACCTTGAATGCACCCCTATGCGTTACAATGGTCTGTGCCTCAGCAGCCGCTTGATCAACAGGTAACTGTTGATAAGCCTGTGCCAAGTCAAGCTTTGCAAAAACTCGCCCCCCCTTGAGGGAAGCCAAAATGTGGCTGACTACTGGTACAGGGTAAGCATGCTGTTGTAATGCCTTGTTAATAGTGCACTTGTAATCAGCACATATTCTAATATCTCCATTAGCCTTAAGAGGCGTTACTATGGGTGTTTCCCATGGACTTGAATCCACAGGCTCTAAAATGCCTTGTTGGATCAATTTATCCAACTCAGCATCAATTTTTCCTTTTAATGCAAAGGGTACTCTTCTAGCTTTAACCCTAATAGGTGTGATGTTGGGGTCAAGTCGTAAGGAGACTGGAGGCCCCTTAAAGGATCCAAGCTGTGAACTAAACACATCTGCAAACTCCTCACAGACTTCTGCTAGGCTTAACGTTTGCAAACTATGCAAGCCAGTAACCTGAATTCCCAAGGCCTCAAACCAATCGAGTCCTATAATACTTGTTCTGTCACCCCCAACAACCAACACATCCAAGGGACCCTCAAAACTCTTGTGTTGTACAGTAAGGGTGGCCTCCCCCTTTACGCACACCTTGGAGTTTTGGAAGTCTGTTAAGATTATGTTGGAAGGCCTACATTTAGCCTGAAACCCACTGCTATTGCAAATCTTCCTGAATGTATGAAAGGAAATGATTGAAAGAGCAGACCCAGTGTCCAGCTCCATAACTAAGGGAATTCCTTGCAGCCTCACCTTAAGGGACAACTTCTTTTTAAGAGGTTTGTGTGTGCCTGTTCTGCAAACACTCCTGCGCGACATGCAGAAGCCCACCCTGTTTTGGCTGGGGACCCTGGTACCTTTCAGATGCAATTCTTCTCGAAGTTGTACCTTCTTTTGGCCTAGATGAACGGCTGCTATGTGGCCTTGCCTTCCACATGCTCTGCAGACGGCTGAACGAAACCTGCAGTCGGCCCTCTTGTGGCGACCTCCGCACCCGAAGCATTTAGGCCCAGCTGGAGCTTTGTCTTTGCTTCCTTTCTTCTTTCCATCTTTAGATGGGAAAAGATGATCCACCTCTTCTTCAGGATCTTCTTCCGGGCCTTCTTGGAGTTCCTCATGGTGCACAGGAACTTCTTCTGAATTGTTCTTAATGGGCCGCATGTGTTTGACTGCCCCACCTGCTGCCTCTTCAGCTGTCACCTCTCTCAAAGCATCTTGGAACGAGAGGTCCTTCCTTGCAAAGAGTTTTTGTTGCAGCCCTCTGTTCCTTAAATCGCATACAAAACGGTCTCTAAGTCTTTCTTCTAAATCCTTAAAGTCACATGGTTTGGCTGCTCTTCTTAATGCTGCAATAAATTCCTTGGCTGATTCTCCTGCCCTCTGGTCCCTTTGTTCAAAGGTATGTCTCCATGCAATGACAGACATCTCTGGCTGGAAATGCTCTTTCAATAAATTTTTTAAGTCTGTGTATGTTACAGACTCTAGAGGAGCAGGGGCTGCCAAGTTTTCTGCAATTTCAAACACATCCTGACCGCAGACACACAGTATGGTTGCAGCCTTCAAGCCATCTTCTCTAACTTGATTTACTCTGAAGTAAGTCTCTGCTCTAGCAACATAAGACTCCCATCTCTCTGGGCGAGTTACGTCGAATTCTGACAGCCTCCCAATCTTTGCCATTCTTGCTTGCTATGCAGGAAGGGGTCTATCAGCCAGCTTACCTCCAGCGACGCTGTACTGGCAGGCCAGATGCTGAATTTAATGCCGTCTTCCTTCTTCAAGGACTCCTTTGGGTAAGTCTTACAATTTTCTTCTTTTAATTTGCAAGACAATCCCACCTTCGTTGCCAGTGTTAAGTCCTTGTCTTAGTGGCGAAAGAAAGGCAAACATACTGTCAGCAACAAGTTCTTTATTCTCCTTCCAATTGCTCCATCACAACTCAGAGGCTCGCAGGCCTCTCTTCTCCTTCTTAATGGCCAGGTTTCCCGGGTAAAAAAGATACAGGGAAAATGGTGCGCTTTGCCTGGTCCCGGGCAGCTTTGCAACAGCCCGTTACCATGACAACGTCCCGAGCCTGCTACTGCAGGCTCAGGACACAACAGTAACCTTTTGTTTATTCGCCTTCGGGTCTGCTAACCATTACAATATAACCATTTGCCTCTTATCCTATGCCACTCTGAACTTCTCCTCCTTACCGGCCAGCTAGGAAAAGGGGGGTGAAAAGATACAGCCCTCCGAGATCTGGTTTATTTCTCCGTCATCAAAATAAGGTGTGAGGAACTGTTGAATGATCATACACAACAGAGCTGGATTGATGTTATCTTTCCTGGAGTTAACACCTAGAAATCTGCCGGTCTGAATCACCTGGAAGAACTGCGGGTTGGGGGTTGATTAGGGACACTTTAAAACATTGATTTGTAAGGAAATCCCTCAGATCCTGTCTATCATGCCTGCTATCAATTTCTCTTAATAAAAGTTCCTGTTGGAAGAGATCGTTTCCAAGAGTTCTGCTTTCTTAAGATGTGGATTGAAGTGGTTCCTTACAGTATAAAGATGTTGATTTGAGATGATGAACTTTGGAGTGAACCAAGCTTTGATAGCTTCTCTCCCCGCTTATTGCAATAAACGAAACAAGGAAGTCTTAACTTTGTCTTGGCTGGTTATTGGTCAGGCGAGCTGGTCACTGGTTGCAAATGAAAGTAGCCAGGAGTATATAACAGTAAGTTCCCTGAGGATGGGCTCTAGTATGAATCCGAAAGTTTGGAAGAACAAACCTCTGGTCCTGATGCAATTCAGTAATTTAAAAACATAATTTTGAGCTAAACAGAGGCCTTATGAAAAGCAGATTCCATTTTCCCATTCTAGAACATGGCATTGGAGGGAAAGTGTGTTGGCATATGAATTAGTGTGTGACACTGGCCTGAGCAAAGATTAGAAGAAAAAGGCTTATGATAGAAACAGTCCTATCCTAATAATTTGTGGAGGACATGCTGGGGTAGGTTATAGTCATGTGATCTGGCAAAATAGTGGAGTTTTGGCTAATTGTAGCCCTGCAGGAAATTGCAATACCATCTTCTAATCAAATCAATTTATTATTACAGCCGAAGGCCAACACATAAATTAAACATTCAAATAAAACAAAACTAAACAGAACCAAACACAAGAAGACATAGCAATATATTACAATTAAAGATGTAATCAATGAGTAACCAAGGTCTGCCTAGTTTTACAGACAGTATAACAAAACCTAGCTACCTTCAGAAAAATTGAATCATATTGACCTGACAATAAAAATACATTGAGTATAGTCTAATGCTGGATAAAAACACGTAATAAAATTAATTATAAAAGATTATTAAAAAGATCTAAAATGTTTAGTTATGTTTCTGGCGAATCCCCAATGCTGCTGCGCAGAATCTAGTCACCTGTGCCGTGATCACTGCCTGCTCATCCTTAAGCAGCCACTGGAGATAAATACTTTCCGAATGACCAGGATACCTATCAGTTATGGGGAGGATATGGTTTTTCTGAATAGCTCTATAGAAGGAACATTGAAGGAGTATGTGTCCAATGGTCTCCACCTCTCCTGAGCCACAGGAGCAGAAATACCATCTTCTATGTGAATGTCCTGATTCATATGGAGGAGCCTGAGAGAGGATTGGAATTTGCAGTGAGACTTCCTTACCCATCTGGTTATATACAGGACTCTGTGCCTCTGGGGGTCACTTCTGCCAGAACAGAAGCTCTCTGTCAACCAAAGTTTTCTTTCTTGTTCTGTTTTCTTTTTAATTTAAGGCTCAGATAATAACAGTTACTTTGTGGAAGGTATTTCATAGGTTGCTGTGCCTACTGGTAACCTTGTTACTGCTTTCTCCAAAATTTCTGCCTTCATAGTTTTTCCTCACCAGTGAGCACAGAAGCTTGCTGGAGAGGGGAAAAAACTAGGGAGATTGGGATCCTTTACCCTCCGTGCTCTTCTCCTCTTGGCTGCACCTATACTTAATTCCATGCTTCTCCTCAGAGTAGTTTCCAATAGTCAACTGGCCTACTTTTTTCTTTTGAGGACAGGAAGAAAACATTGGGGTTGTGGGGAGGGGCAAAAGCCCACAAAACAAAAGTTCCATTTTATTTCTGGAAGAATTATTGGGAAGAATTGCAGTGATAAAAATGAATGTTCTCCCCAAGTTTCTTTTCTTGTTTCAGATGATACCTATTTTAAAAAAGGATTCAAATTTGGAAGAATGGCAAAGAGGCATCAATAGGTTCATATGGCAAGGGAAAAAACCTAGGGTAAAATTTAAAATCTTGCAAGATGCACGGGAAAGAGGGGGACTTAAAGCCCCTAATTTAAAATTATATTATGAAGCAGTGGTATTAACCTGGATTAGTGATTGGATTAATTTAACTAATAGAGATATTTTGATACTTGAGGGTTGGGATTTATATTATGGATGGCATGCTTATTTATTTTTTG